TCTCAATAGAATAATTTGTAATGATGGAAAACAGATAAAGGTTGGCAGGAATTTGGTCTGGGTGACAAGGAAAGAGCTGCAGGGTGTGTGTGGTGGGGGCAGTTCAGTATCCTGATGGTGGAGATCATTACATTAATTTATATGGGTGATAAACTTAATAGAAAAACACACATAAATGCATAAAGAATGGATATAAACTTGGTGGCATTCAAGTAGGGACTGTAGTTCAGGTAACTATGTTGCATCAGTGTGAATGTTCTGGTTCTGATTTTTGGCTTCTGATTATGTAAGATGTCACTGGGGAAAGTTGGGTGAAGGGTACACAGCAATCTCTGCACTATGCTTGCAACTTCTTGTGTCTTAAATCATTTCAAACTGAAAAGCTTTTTGAGAAAAGGAAAGCACAGGGATTTCTGGTAAATGTTAAATCCAAAAGCACTGTTCAAAGGCCAGAAAGATAGCTGAGTTCAAACCCCAGAACCCATGTGATGGAAGGAGAAAACTGACTCCAGCAAGTTGTCCTCTGACCTCCACATGTGCTCAATGGCATGGATGTGCCCACTTCCCCTACACACACACACACGCACACACACACACACACACACACACACACACAGAAGAAAGCAAGCAAGCACACACTGCTTGACATCATGCAGCATCAGGATGCAGAAAATAGAGCGAGGCTAATGCCTGCTGGAGGCAGGAAAAGAGGAAAGATGTGGAGATTCCTGCTTGGAACACCACTAGGTAGCACATGACCCACTCCTGTTAGCCCCTTTTCTGCCCTACTGGTCACTCCTTGCATTCAGCAACTGCTCAGCACACAGAACTAAAAATCCATGTTGACTACTGTGGTGGTTTGAATGAAAGTGTCCCCCATAGGCTCCAAGTATTTGGACATTTTGTCCCCAGCTGGTGGCACTGTTTTGGGAGGTCTTAGAAGTTGTGGCTATGCTGGAGGAAGCTGGTCAGTGGTGTTGGACTTAGAGAGTTCTTAAGCTTTGCAGGATCTTGAGCTGCTTCCTGTGCCTGCTTGAAGATGTGAGTGCTCTGCTTTCTGCTCCTCTTCCAGCCACCTCCTGCCACCATGCCTCCCACCATGATGGGACTGTAATTCCCCCGGAACTGTAAGCTCAAATAAACTCTTCCTTTTATAAGTTGCTTTAAAGGTCAGTGTTTCTATCACAGCAACCGAAAAGTAACTAAAACAACAACTCTTTTGAATGCTACCCCACACCTCTACCAGTATTCTAAGCAGATAAATGCACTCATAGTTTTTGATCATTCAAAGTTACTTCAAAATCCTTTTAGTAATCAGCACTTAGCTCCTATATGTGTAAAGACAGTTTAACTTAAAATTAGTAGTTGCTGCTTTCTACCACATCTTCTATGTATTTTATCTTTGATACATTATCTCTAACGTTTACAGAACACTGGCTAAAGGCTATTTTCCCCATTTTCAGATGAAGAAAACACCTGAGAGTATGTAGGCAAATCTACCTACAGATGGCAAATCTAGTCAGCCTGATTTCAAAGTCCATGGTCTTTCCACTATACCATGTTACCTCAGTATTCATCCATAAACAATGTGCCTACATACCCAAGCATGCATTTGCAGACACATGCATGCACGTGCGCATGCATACACACACACAGAATCTATTAGTTGGTCCCTTTATATCAGATTATAGGACAAAATGTCGAATTCTTGTCTGTCATAGCTCAGAGCAAACACTGCTAGGCCATTGCTGGGGCCAAGGCTTAGCGACACTGGATAATGACGGAAACCAAGAACGCAAAGCCAGCTGCAGCAAGAATTCAGACTGGAGTCCAGCCAATGAGTAGGAGGCATAATGGGCAGTCAGCCAAGGCCCTAGGGCCAAGCCAGCAATGGAATCTGAAGGCACAGGCAAATCTCCAGCAAAAAGGCACTGTGGGCTGCATGTACCTCAGGGATTCAAACGTTCCCCTATGTCTGCTCCTGATGATATTGCCAGCCAAATGGGGCTTTTGGGGAGACAGGTGAAAACTACCCGCATGATTACACCATCTTAACCACCATGGTTAGAAAGACTTCTGGGAAAGGTTCATTAATCCATGAGGTGGCAACGGGGTCCCAGACAGTGGGGGTCACTAGGGTTGGAAGTACCCAGAATTACAGCATGTGGGTCAGCTGTGCCAGCACTGTCCCCAACTAGCTATAAATCTACATTCAAGCCTGGTGTGGTGGCACATGCCTTTAATCCCAACACTGGGGAGGCAGAGGCAGGTGGATCTCTGTGAGTTCAAGGCAAGCCTGGTCTACACAGTGAGTTCAGGCCTGCTGGGGCTACAGGGAGACCCTGTCTCAAAAAGACAAAAAAAAAAAAAAAATCTACATTCAAGTTCGTTCATCTTAAAATGAGAGTCAGGGCAAGGGGGCATCCTCAGAGGGCCTGCTGGGGCTACAGGGAGACCCTGTCTCAAAAAGACAAAAAAAAAAAAAAATCTACATTCAAGTTCGTTCATCTTAAAATGAGAGTCAGGGCAAGGTGTAATCCTCAGAGTCCTGGAACTCCAGTCCTGCCCTGGAAAACTAGTGGGGGCACAGTTGTAGGAAGCAAGTAGGCCTTACCTTATGCTACTAATACTTCCTTCTCTGTCTTCTAAGTCCTGACCCCCAACAGCCATCTGACTCTAATGATTAGAACCAGTTTAACAGACATTTAATAAGGTGCTACTAAGAGAGCCCTAGAGAAGGTGCTGATAGGTTCAAAACTAGGCCAACCCCAGCCCCTGAATCATGAATTCCCAGATTCTGGCCTGATAGAGAACATTCTGGCATATATTTCTTCAATATTCCTTTCAGATTCCAGGACACCCACAGCCTAGCATTCTCCTGCCATAAACCTGAGAATTGGAAAGAGAGGAAAGGGGGAAAGGAAAGATGGATTTACAGTCACCCGTGAGCTGTTAATACTCAGGTCCCCAGCAGACACCCTGTGGTTGGACGCTTCCTGTGGCCAATGTGTTTGTGCTTTTTGCCCTACTTAAAATCAGGGCAACTGCTCTGGCTTTTTTGGAAATGCTACAAGTCTCCTGCTAGAAATGGCTCATGGCCTTTTCCTGCAGCTGCAGTGAGGGGGGAGAAAGGAAGAAAAATCACTGCCTGAAAAATTACAACCCACGTTGAACTGCAACCCTAGGTTCTGCAATGCTAAAGGAAGGGGTTTTTCTTGTGTTTCTGCTGTTCCATGCTCCACATCCCCAGCATTGAAAAGCAGATTTTAAATATATTGCAAGTACATGAGACATGGGAAAATTATATTTGGCAGCTAATTTTTTAAAAATTCATATCAAATGTGGCCAAAATACTAAATAAAACCATACAAGCTTCCTTTTTGTAAGGGCACCCTTTGAAGCCTTTAATTTTCTCCTCATCAGCATCTGGTCTTCAATGTGCTAATATGCCTTTTCACTTCTGTCCTAGACTTGAGCCATTACAGTGACATAATGGGCATTTGCTCTGATAGCTAAATTTCCATATTTCACCTTTTAAAATAGTTGTAAGGATGCCATTTTGAATTGATACTCAGGTTTGTAGTTCAAGAGAACTATGAATTCTGAAATATGTAGACTGTAAACCTATATGTATTTTCATATATTAAATCCATATATTCCATGGACCAGAGAGATGACTCAGTGGGCAAAAGCACTTGCCACCAAGCCTGACAACCTGGGTTCAATTCCCAGGACCCACATGGTGAAAGAAGAGTCTGACTCCTACAAGATGTCCTCTGACCTCCACATGCATGTGCCTCCAACACACAGATAAATGTAATTTAAAATTTTTTAAAACTGGGGCTGAAGAGATGACTCAGCAGTTTAGAGCACTGTCTGCTCTTGCAAAGGACCTGGTTTCGATTCCCAGTACCCACATGGCAGCTAACAACTGTCCCTCTGTAACTCCAGGGATGCCCTCTTCTGACCTCTGTGGGCACTGCACAACATGGGTGCACTTATATGTATGCAGACAATACACTCATACACATAAAATATTTAAAAATTCAAATCTAGATGTTCCTAAATATAGATGTGGTATTAAATAGCCCTAGATACTGAGAACTGTTCATAGTAAATTAACAGTTAAATTGCCAACTCAAGTTCTTAATACCTTAAGAGGTTCATATTCAGGAATTAATGTTGGACACAGAATGATCATTAATGAGATAAGAGCAAAGCATAGGACACTGAGGTAACTGACTAAAGGAGAATTTGGAGGCAGTATCTTTGCAAGTCTCCTTTTTAATTTTAATTTAATTTAGACCAGGCTGGCCTTGAACTCACAGAAATCCGCCTGCCTTTGCCTCCGGAGTGCTGGGATTAAAGTGTGCGCCACCATGCCCGGCCCTATTATTTTTATTTTATAAGTGTATTACTTGCACATAGGTAGGTGCACCCATGTCGTCCAGTGCCTGTGGAGGTCAGAAGAGGGTGTCAGATGCCCTGGAACTGGAGTTACAGGATGGTTGTTAGTTGCCATGTGGGTACTGGAAACTGAACCTGTGTTCCCTGCAAAGTGGCCAGTGCTCTTAACTGCTGAGCCATCCCTCTAGCCCCTCATTTTTTAAATTAAAAAAAAATTTTTTTTGGTCTTCTTTTTTTTTAAATCAGGTCTCCCTGTAGCCCTAGGAGTTTTGTTAGCTGCCATGTGGGTGCTGAGAGTCGAACCCATGTCCTCTGCAAGAGCAACCAGTGCTCTTAACTGCTGAGCCATCTCCAGCTTCCTTACCCAGTATTCCTTTTTTTTAATTTTTAAATTTTATTTAATTTTATTTTATGTGTATGAGTGTTTTGCTACTTGTAAGTCCACCAAGTGCATGCAATACCCACAGAGGGCAAAAGAGGGCATCAGTTCCCCTGGAACTGGAGTTAGGGACAGTTGTTAGCCACTATGTGGGTGTTGGAACCAAACCCAGGTCCTCTGCAAGAACAGCCAGTGCTCTTCACTGCTGAGCCAGCTCTCTAGCCCCCTGCAAGTTTTCTTTTGTACTTAATCACTAAATGTTTTATTTTGATGATTAGTTGTAGTAAAATGAATTTTATTACATCTCTGGAAACCAGGTCACTAAGGAAGCGAGGTAGAACTGCACATGACTGGCTTGCTAATAAGCTGCTGCTGCTGGAATAATTTGAGAAGAAACTTGGGTCTCATCAGGTCCAATCACTGCTAACCATTTAGCTGTCCTGTGGTCCTTGTCCTTCCAAGTCCTCTCCAGCTTCAACATCTGTAGGCCTGAAATGATAGGTTAATGGGTGGGAAGCCTGCTCTCCCCAAGTTAAAACAAAGCTGTACAAGAAGCACCGAGGACTACAAGAAAGCAGTTGAACTTAGAGAGGCCGCACCTACCCAGGACACGAGGAAGGGCTGTGTGTTCTAGCTTGTGGCAGAACATTAGTTACTGACTTCAAGGATGTTAACAGTCATGTTTCCAACCCCAATGCAGCAAGCAGTAAGGCAATCCAAGATCAGCAGTTTTTCCAAAAATCAGGGAGAGGGATGTGTGCTGTTTATTTCTACACAGAAGTCCCCTGAGAGTTGAGAATTTGACCAGGGGGTTCTATCACATCTCTGGGCTCCCATAGCCTTGACACATGACCTAAGAGAGGTGTTGGACAAAAGCATTTCCTAGGAGAATTCTCCAGGAAGGATTCAGCCAGTGGAAAGAAACCACTGGAGTAGTTTGTTCTCATTGGAGACAAGTGAGCATTTGTGTGCACGTGCATATGTGAATGAGTACTCCCACACATGCTGTGGTTTCCTGGAAACAAAGAGGCTGGGAGAGCAAAGAACTTCATAGACACCCTGTTAGAATCTCTCATTTATTTTCAGACTCCTTTCAGCTCCATGATGAGAGGGAAACCCAGGAGGGGCTCACTCATGCAAGAAGGTGTGTCAGTGAGGGCTTGGGGTGGTCAAAACCTAGAGTCTTTGAAAGCCCACAGCACTCACAGTCCCAACATAATGCTGGCCTTTTTGTATGCAATAAGCCAGGGAGTTCTCAGACATTCCAGGAGGGTCCATGGGGACCTCATGAAGCCACTTCCATAGCCCAGCATGCGCCCCTCCTGTCTTAACAAGTGAACATTGAACCAGCTCATGACACCTTTTGACTTCTAGAGATATCTGGCACTTTGGAGCACTTAGGTGACTAGTTCCCTTTAGGGAAATTCCAGGCTAGAAGAGCAGTTAAGAGGATATTGCAAGTAAGACTTTGATCAGGTGGTGGCAGCAGAGGTGGTGGGAAGTAGCTGAGTTCTGGTTGTGGTTCAAGGACAGAGCCAACAAGATTTCAAGACAGATTGGATGTGGGAGGTAAGGGAGAGTCAAAGATGACTTCAAAGTTTCTGATCCAAGCACATGGAAAGACTCAGTTCCCTGCTCAACTGGAGAAGGCTGGGGAGGAGCAGCTTGTGGGAGTTAAATAATTTAACAAGGAGTTAAATTTTGAACGAATTGTAGAATTTTTAAAAAGCAGCATATTGATGCTTAAAATTCCTGAAAGTGGAACTATTTGAAATGATGAGACCCAGGATTGAACCCTGAGGGTGGGTCTCTGAAGTGGAATAAAATGAAATCGTTATAATTAAGTAATTTAGAGCTCAGAAAGTTGAAAGATTACTGAACTCTCCTGGGATGGTCCTTGAAGGAGTTCAGGTAGGAATATGGAACAGGGAAATGCAGGTTTAAGAACAAATGGCTAGAAGTCACACTAACAGTCTGAGCATACAGAATTTGAATTAGGTTTGATTGGCTCAAACATTAGAAATGGGCAAAACAGTAAAAAGATCAAATCTGTAGGAATACATCAGATAACATAATAAAACTGGAGTTTTGGCATTAGAGAGATTTTTAATCCCACTACAGCATAGATCATCAATCTCACATGGATTTTGTGAGAAATTCAATGAATTTGCATAATTTAAATCTTCATTATTTCACAACAGAGCTTTTTAAAAAAATATTTTACTTATTATTTTTATTTTGTGTGTATGAGTGTATTGTCTGCATGTATGTAAGGGCACCCGTATCATCCAATACCTGAGGAGGTCAGAAGAGGGCTTTGGATTCCCTTGGAACTGGAGTTACAGTTGTTAGCCGCCATGTGGGTGCTGCAATCGAACCAAGGTCTCTGCAAGTATAGCACAGCTAGTGCTCTTAAGTGCTGAGCCAGTTCCAGCCCTCATGGCAGAGCTTTTTTCCCATTTTAAGTATGCTAAACTCAGTGATAGCATTTAGATCAATTCATGAAGCATCTTAGAAATTGTGACATCTTAAGAAAGTTTCCTAGTAGTCTAGTCATAGTTTACCAAGCTATATCTTCACCCCAATCTTGAGCCATGTTTCCAGATTCAAAAATTCAAAATATAACAAATTCTCAAGTTCATAAACCAATATTTGAGCTGGTAGATGTCACCTAAGAATCAGAATCCATTGAACTATTGATGTGATTATAGGATTAAACACATTCTGCACATGTAGACATGTTTATCTACATGTGCTAAGAATTTAAGGAGAACAGAAAAATCAAGAAAGTTCTTGCCTCACGTTTCCAGTCAATTAATGAAGAGGTATAGAAAAAATTAGAGTTATATAATCTTGGTCTTTAAAAAAAAAATCCCGCCTTGTTTCAGACTACTAGTCACCCAGTCTAGACTTTTAACTCTTCATAAATGTAGCATAAGTTGTATAGTATATAATTAAGTATATAATATTTAAATCTTCTGGCTTTGTGGGATCTTCTGTGTGTTTGACACTGAATTTAATCATTGAGCTCCGAAGACTTCATCTTTTAGTTCAATAGAAAAATAAAATGATACGGTGATTGAATCCCTCTCAAAGTGGCACAGACACTCCCCAGACACACGTCAATCACCTGCTGAATTGGGCTGATTGATCTTTAATTGGCTTCGCAGGTGTTCATCTTAGCCAAACAAAATAGGTTAATCATCTCCTATTCATTTTTTTCTTTTATAAGTCTTCAGTAAAACAGCTCAAGAAAAATACCAAAATATACATGTATAGTTCTATAGCATGTTTATTTGAACAATGAATTTACACCAGTGTTTGAGATGTGAACACTGTAGAATGACTATTTCATCAAAACTAATTTAAGTTCCTCTTCACTTAATCAGAAAGAGGAAGAATTCTAAATCAGGTTTTCATACAATATTGAATCATGCAAATGAGACCAAATTGTGGTGCTCAAATAAAATGGGTGCAGAGAAGAACTGGGCAGCAAACCTACCTATCAGTGATCTAGGCAGAACAGATGTGTGGCTGTTGAGGCTGTGGCAGGTATGTGGTGTGGAGATCACCATCAGATGCCATGGTTTACGTGCCAAACTTTTGGAGTAGTTGTGGGAAAAGGGCCTCAGATACTCTTCTTACAGCAGAGCTCCCACTGGTGATGCTACTGTCCGAGTTCTATCTACACTGACTGGACAGTACAGGTTCACAGGTCCTGTGGCCTAAATAAGGATCTACATTGGTACCTCTGACTGGCCTAGAACTCTCTATTCAGACTAAGCTGGCCTGGAACTCACAGAGATCCACCTGCCTCTGCCTCCCAAGTGCTAGGATTAAAGGTATGTGCCACTATGCCTGACTTTGATGTCATACTTTTGAAAAACTGCTTTGGGGGCTAGAGAGATGGGTTCAGCAGGTAAGGGCACTAAGTTTGATCTGTGGGACCCACATAATGGAAGGAGAGAACCAACTTCCACAGTTGGTCTCTGACCTTTACACATATGCACACACGTACACATACACAAACAAATAAATGTTTTAAAAAATAACAATTTTTTAAAAACTACTTTGGGGCTTTGACAGTATCTTTCTTATTTGTCTCTTCTTACATGAAGAGACAAAAGAACTAAGAGAGATTACTGTCCCTAAGTCCACAGTGTAGACACATGTAGACAAAGTGAATAAGTGGCTAGGCAGGATGAGGCTGATCTTAAATTAGGATACAGGACCACCAAGACCAAGATGGCTGGGAAACTACCCATCTTCCTCAAGAATGTCTGGGCAGAGGAGCCAGTGCTGATTGTTATCCATCACCATCAAGAGCCTCACTGTAAGTCTGTCTCCATTCAGCTCCTATACCAAATATGCTATGATGATCAACCAGGCCACACCCTACAACTACCCAGTGTCCCTGCAAGACAATGGGAACATGTCTGCTGTGCCTAGCCACCCCCAGGACCCTCAAGGCCCAAGCCTGAAGTGGCTGAAGAATCTGTGAATATTCTGACTGATGGAAAAAGGCACCCTCTCTGTGGCCCTCAATACAAATGTAAAAACCAACCCCACAGAAAAAAAAATAAGATATAGGAGACTTAAACAATATAAAAGTGTTCCTCATAGTTGACAGTCTTTTGAAAGGCCATAAAGATGCCATTTTGAGAAAAAAAAATCTACAAGGAATGTACAAGATTTATTAAGTATTGATGTAACACAGAGCTTATACCAAGATTATACCAAAAATCTAAAAAATTGTGTGTTTGCATCACTGTAGATTGCACAGTTGTTCATAGTAGCCTATGGATGTAAAACAAAAAATGCTGCTGTCAGGGATCGAGAGGTCGCTCAGTGGTTAAGAGCACTGGCTGCTCTTGCAGAAGGCCCAGGTTCGGTTCCTAGCACCCACATGACACCTAACAACCATCTTTAATTCCAGTTTCAGAGGGGTCTGGCACCATCTTCTGGCCTCCACAGGCATTGCACACACAGGGGTACTTATATTCATGCAAGGAAAATACTAATACACATAAAATAATAAGTAAATTTAGAAAAAAAGTTTTTTTTTAATGCTGTTGATTGAGTGTGGTGGCACATGCCTTTTGGTCTCAGCACCTGGGAGGCAGAGGCAGGTGGACCTTGTCTCAAAAACAAAAAATTCTATGCAAGCTCAAACCAGACAAATTCCAGCATAAATATGGAGAAGTGGGTAAGAAATCCCAACCCAGCCTAGGGAACTTTTGGCAATTGATGGCTGCTGGGAGGAGGACAGTATCTTACAGGGATGGGACTCTTGGTGACCCAGTGAATGGGTCCACACATTGACACTGGGGGACACAAATCAGACTCTATAGGCATATACATACATATATATACACATATATATGCATGTTATATATACATATATATGTATGTATGTATATATATATATATATATATATATGCTGTTGTCTTCATTTTATGGAGGAGGAAATAGGCCCTCAGTAGTTAAATAGCAGACAAAGTCACACAGCTATGAGTGGTGAACCATGTCACCCCTTGTCACACTGACTCCAAGTCCACTGCTGCTGACAGGACTGCCCTGATAGACATGGCAGCAGCAGGACTGGAGAGTGAGGGAAAGCTCAGTTAGGCTTCACAGTAAGGAACAGAATTTGGTAATTGATTGTGTAGAGGAGATAAAGAAGAAGGAAAGGTCATTTCTAGGTTTCCCAAACCTGGAAGCTGATGCAATGACAATACTGCTCCTAATGTTGGTGACACATCTGCCAGTCCCTGTGCCCAGCCATACTGCCTCATACTTGGCCATATTGCCTCATACACAACTCTTGGAAAGCACCATTATTACTATCCCCATTTTACAAAGGGGACATGAAAACTGTCCTCACTTTAAGAGGCAAAAACATCAATATATTTTGCTCCAACATACCATTAAGTTCAAGTGGATTCATTAGCCTATGGTAATAGTACTAGAGCCTGAGTCTCAGAGTTGGGGCTTGGTATTCTTGAATGTATGGGTGAATTATGATCCGAACCACGAAGTCACCAGCTGGGCCCATAACAATCATGACTTTACAAATGTAGCATGCCACCTCCTAGGTCCTTTGCTTGCCATTAAAACAAGCTGCACAGGGGCTAGAGAGATGGCTCAGTGGTTAAGAGCACTAGCTATTCTTCCAGAAAATCTAGGTTCAGTTCCTAATACCTACATGGCAGCCAATAACCATCTGTAACTCTAGTTTCAGGGGATATGATGCCCTCTTCTGGCCTCTGTGGGCATTGCACACACATTGCAAGAAAAACACTAATACACATAAAATTTTAAAAACAAAAGCAGGCTGCACTAAGTGAATGGCTTACCTTAGCCTTAGCCTTTCGGATGGTTGGATGGTTGACCAGGTAACTGAGAGGCATAGAAAAGAATGCTTTCCTCCTTTATTGAAAAGAAAAGTATAACCAAAAATTATCAAATGATTAGCTATCATATTACATTTATGAAGAACATACTGCTAAGAGTAAAATGCTTAAAAACAATTTCAGAGCCAGGATTGGTGGCGCACACCTTTAATCCCAGCACTCGGGAGGCAGAGGCAGGCAGATCTCTGTGAGTTCATGGCCACCCTGGTCTACATAGTGAGCTCAGGTCACTGGAACTACAGGGAGACCCTGTCTCAAAAAGACAAAAAAAAAAAAAAACCAATTTCAGTTATGGTCACTTGTCACTGTTGTTGAATTGCTCTCAGTAAGCCCGATTTTCCTTCTTGGACTAACTAGTTCATGTTCTGAACTTCTACTGCTGCCCAGGGTTTTCCTGGGACTCCACTTATTCCCTCTAGCCTTCAACTGCCCCCTAACTTCATTTTATCCTTCAAGAAAAGACCCAGCCTAATTCCCTGCTTTTGATCTCTGCTTTCTCTTTCTTAGTCAAGGGAAGAAAGAAAAACAATTTGTATATCTAATATGTATATGAAAAACCCCAAACTTCTTTCCAGATAGTTTCCCTTGCAGCTCATTTCTGAAAGCCCCACACCGTCTCCCTGGGTACCTGCTATTGATTTTCACTCACTGGGTTGTATGTAGCAAAGCCTTAACAACCCTAAACTTCACTGAGAAAGACCTGACTCTTCTTTGATATCACCTGCATGTAGGCAGTTTGCCTTCTTTAAAGACTGTGAGTTACATAAGCAAGAAGTACGTGAATTTAGGTTTTTTGTTTGTGTTTGTTTAAAAAAAAGCTGGGTGTGGTGACGCACGCCTTTAATCCCAGCACTTAGGAGGCAGAGGCAGGCAGATCTCTGTGAGTTCAAGGCCAGCCTGGTCTACATAGTGAGTTCCAGGACAGCTGGGGCTACAGGGAGACCCTGTCTCAAAAAGACCAAATAAATAAATAAATAATAAATAAATAAATAAATAAATAAATAAATAAATAAATAAATAGCTAATGGGGTTGGAAAGAAGGCCCAGCTGTTAAGAGCACTTGCTGCTCTTGCAGAGAACACAGGTCCAGTTCTAGCACCCATATGGTGGCTCAAAACTATTCATAGCTCCAATTCTAGGGGATCTAACACTCTCTTCTGACCTCCATGGCACACATGTGGTGCACATGCATACATGCAGGCCAAGCATCCATACACATTTTTAAAAAAAACTATGCATAATGGCCTATGCCTGTCATTCCAGCACTTGGGAGGTAGAAATAGGAAAACCAGGGGTTCAAGGTCATGCTCTGCTACATAACAACATCAAGGCCTGTCTGGACCACTTGAGATTCTGTCTTGGAAAACAAAACAATACAAAACAAAGCAGTATTTAGGTCTTAAATGTAAGTAAATCCTAAGTTTTCATGTTCGGGGTCCAAAAAAATCCCCTGAATTGACCACTTGGACACTGAGACTCAGGAGAACTTAACTGCTTTATTGAAACTGACTGGCTGGGGACACAGGCAGGCTCGGGAGCTACACTGCTACCCAGAGCCATGGAAATACAGGGTTTTTTGTTTGTTTGTTTTTGTTTTTTGTTTTTTTTGTGTGTGGTTTTTTTTTTT